CGCTTTGGAACGAGATTACCGTTTCGTGGATCCGTTTTGGACGTTGTTAAGACCAAGAAAGCGAATATGCCAAACATGACGTTACCCGTTGGGGCCCGTTCGAGATTGGCGGGATGTCTGCTTCTTTCGGAGACCCTTTTGGGGGTCTTTTTGGAGCCTTCTGGGAGCGTCTTGGAAGCCCTAGACAGCCCGCCTTGAGGCTGTCCAGGGTTGTTGGAGGTCTATTCGGCGTGTTGGAGCCCAGCTTGATCGAGCAAGCTTACATTAAATCCAGGTTATCCTCGAGGACTCGGACTCTATAGATTTAAAGCCTGCAGGGGCCTCGGGGGCTCCGGAGGCCCCGCGGATGCGTTTAGGAGCTCGTGCCCCCCCTCTCTTTCCCCCCCCTCCCCTCAAACGCGATTTTGGACCATGGGGGAGGGAAGCGAGGGAGAGGGACAGCCAACTATCTCACACGCTTTGTCCGCCCCTGCAAGCATAGGTCGTCGGACCTTGCTTGTTTAAATTAATGTCCTGGCCTCCAGGGACCTCCGCCGTGTCCTCGTCTCTCATTGGTGCACCTGGCATGGACCTTCCTGGCGTTCCTCTGGTCGTCAGAGTCAGCCGCCACCCTGCGCCAATGGGGGAGGATGGGCCATTTTCCTGGGCGGTCGGGCGACTCCTGCTGCACAGTGTGTAGCAGAGAGGTCCCGCGGTCCCGCGGGGTCTTTCGAGGTTCTAGTTCTGGACGCTTTGCTTCCCCGTCATCGTCCTCTCCTCATCCTCCCTGGTCTCCCCCCCCCCTCCCTCCTCCTCGCGAATTCGCTCCTTGCTACTCGATACTCGCACCTCGATGCTCGCTCCTCCTTACCCCCGTCCCCGGGAAGGCCCTCCCTCTCCTCGCTCGCTCCTCCGTTATTCTCCTCCTCCTCCTCCTCCTCGCTCCTCCTCCTCGCTCCTCCTCCTCGCTCCTCCTCCTCCTCCTCCTCCTCCTCCTCCTCCTCCTCCTCCTCCTACTCCTCCTCCTCCTCCTCCTCCTCCTCCTCCTCCTCCTCCTCCTCCTCCTCCTCCTCCTCCTCGTCGCTCCTCCTCCTCCTCCTCGCTCCTCCTCCTCCTCCTCCCCTCCTCCTCCTCCTCCTCCTCCTCCTCCTCGCTCCTCCTCCTCCTCCTCCTCCTCCTCCTCCTCCTCCTCCTCCTCCTCCCCTCCTCCTCCTCCTCCTCCCCCTCCTTCTCCGCCTCCCCCTCCTCCTGCTCCTCCTCCTCTCCTCCTCCTCCTCCTCCCCTCCTCCTCCTCCTCCTCGCTCCTCCTACTCCTCCTCCTCCTCCTCCTCCTCCTCCTCCTCCTCCCTCCTCCTCCTCCTCCTCCTCCTCCTCCTCCTCCTCCTCCTCCTCGCTCCTCCTCCGCTCCCCTCCGCCTCTCCGCCGTGCCGCTCCCCCCGAGAGGCCCTCCCCCCTCCCCCCCCCAAGGGAGGCCCGACGAGAGCCTCCGCGGGGCCCCGCCCGCCGACGGTCGCGCCCCGCGAGCCGCTCGCGCGGCCGCCTGCGGCCCGAGCGGCGCACCGCCCCCCGCGGCCGCGCGCGCCGCGCTGGCCAGCGCGCGCGCGCGCCGCGGCGCGCCGCGGCGGGCTTCGGGGAGGGGACGGGCTAGAGGTAGGTCGGGCCTGTCCCCCGACAGGCCGATGCTCGACGAAGGATTAAAGATACGCAGGAAGTGCACCCAAAAGTATCAAAAGTGCTTTTTTACAAAAATCGTCCCCATATATTTGTTTGAGCATTTCCCCTGTAGAGAGACAGGCCCGGCTTAAGGCTACAGAGGCGATACGCCGCAAAGTGTTAGATTCTGCCGACGCCACGAGAAACATGCAAGGGGGTGCTCCGCGCAGATCTGCGGAGCATCCTGCGCCATTCGCCGCGGACTCGGTGGGGAAGATTGGTTTTTTGGGGGGCAGACCTGCTCTGTAGTCCATCCCCTGCCCGAGCGCTGCAGTTGGTGGGCGAAGAGCGGTGTAAGATACACTTCTCCCGGCGTCGGGGGCCTCAGGTCCCCCAGGCGGCTGTCAAGGTTATACACCGCTCGTGCGGTGGCACGCTGGTGTCTAATCTTTACCACCGCCCTGGGACAAGCGCCCCCCGATCGCGGAAAAGTTTGACCCTGTACCGCTCTTCGTCTGCTGACCCAGACCCCCGGCGTCAGGCATTTCTCATGACGCGGACCCCCAACGTTAGCGGCTTGGACCCCTTCCCCAGGACCGGCTCTTCTTCCCGAGTCGCTTTTTGACGGTCCCGAGGCCCGGTGTGGGCCCCCCAGGAGGCCGAAAATAGCGAAGCACTTCCCGTCGTGATTGTTTCATGCCCCGAGGGGGTCTGGCAACGGAGGGCCCCCCGAGCGCCATGCGGCCGCCCCGCCGCCGCGGCGGCGCCGCGCCCGCGGCGGCGCTGCGCGGCGCAGCGCTGGGCGCTGGCGCGGCGCTGGCGCTGCTGGCGGCCGGGGGCGCACCGCCGGCGTGGGCGCCCGCGTGGCGCTCGAGAGGGGAAGAAGTAGGCACACACACACAAAAGCACACACAACACACACACACACACACACACACACACACACACACACACACACACACACACACACACTTTGCGTCGGAGGCGAGGCAGGGGAAGTCTGCACTAGCAGAAAAGGCCTCAACGGGGGTTCCTGTATGGCGAATTGTGCCGAAAGACAAGTGGATGAGGAGGAGGACGAGGAGGAGGAGGAGGAGGAGAAGAAAGAGGAGGAGGAGGAGGAGGAGGAGGGCGCGGCCGAATAAGAGGGGACGGACGAAGCGAGCCGCTCAGGGTAGGCACAGACACAAGTATTCGTTCGATGCTCGTTTGGGGGGACCTTCCTGGGGACCACCTAACGGATCTGTTCGACGCAAGTTGGGTTCAGGTTCGACTCAGGTTCGGAGCAGGTTCGACTCAGGTTCGACTGAAGTCTGACTCGCGTCGACGGACGTTCGGCGCAGCTTCGACGCACGAGCGAAGCGAATGGCACAGACACAAATACAGTCGGCCCTGACTGGTGGATCGACCATGCCAAATCGAGGGAACCCCTGTGTCCTGTCTACCCCGACCTATGCAAACCGCATGTCCTTTGGTGTTATGGGGCCACGTTGCCGTCGGCAGAGTCCTGTATCCCCTCGGGCGCCCTGTCCAATCGAGTTCGACTGTATTCGCCGAGGTCCACGAAAATATGGAAGAACATGTGGGACGTTCCAGGATCGAGGCGGCGCGCTGCCCCCCTCTGGCGGCGCGTTGCGCCCTCCTCCTCCTCCTCCTCCTCCTCCTCCTCTTCCTCCTCCTCTTCCTCCTCCTCCTCCTCGCCTCCGAGGATTGAAGGAGTTGCAACCTCTTCCTCGGCGGAGGGGCGGCTGATTTCAGGCGGGAGGCTGCGGAAGCAAAGCGAGGGCGGCCCCGCCGGCGGAAGGCAGGCGGAAGCCGGCGGAAGCACAATGTGGCCCTCCAAGAAGACACAATCCTCCCCCTCCTCCTCCTCCTCCTCCTCCTCCTCCTCCTCCTCCTCCTCCTCCTCCTCCTCCTCCTCCTCCTCCTCCCCCCTCTCCTCCTCCTCCTCCTCCTCCTCTCCTCCTTATCCCCCTCCTCCTCCCTCCTCCTCCGCCTCCCCCTCCTCCTCCTCCTCCTCCTCCTGCTCCTCCTTCTCCTCTTCCTCCTCCTCCTTCTCCTCCTTCTCCTCCTCTATTTGTTTGCTCAGGGTTTCCGGAACCCGTCCGTTGGAGCGGCGGTCATTGCGAAGACGAGGTCGCACAGGCCCGTCAGGTCACGTGGCCAACACGGGGTCACACCAGCTCCGTTGGGCTCCCGAGGGCTCCCGCCGAGGACTGCCGAGAGGGGTCACTCAACATGCCCACCAACTCGGTTGTGGGACTACCGCAGAACGGCAACACTACAACATAGACGCGGCCATATGGGAGACGGAGGGGAAGAGGGAACTCCAAGACATCTGGAAATAGAGACGAAAATCATGGAACTTGTGCCGATTTATTGGTTCGGGGACGCACTGACCTGGGTCAATGCAAACCTGGGTCAGTTAGGCTTTGCAGGATCCTGCAGAGCCTATCTGGCCAATGCACCTCTGGCCTTGCACGATACTGCAAGATCCGGCGCCTTGACTACCCCCCATTTGCATCGACCCCCGTCTCGAGGCTCCCGACTGGTGTCTTGATGGGCAGATTTCCTACCACTGCTACCATAGGTAGGAGAGGGACGAGGAGGAGGAGGAGAAGGAGGGTCGTCATCTACAACAAGATCGGCTTCGGGCACGCCCCGCTTCTTCTTGCTTGCTGGCCTCATGTTTCATGTATTTCGGTGCGGAGGGATGTGCCCATCATCGCCCAGGGTCGGTGAATGAGGAGATGAACTGGAGGAGGAGGAGGAGGAGGAGGAGGAGAAGGAGGAGGAGGAGGAGGAGGAGGAAGACGTGGAGGAGGAGGATGAGGAGGAGGAGTTGGAGGAGGAAGAGGAGGAGGAGGAGGAGGAGGAGGAGGAGGAGGAGGAGGAGGAGGAGAGGAGGAGGACCTCCCCATCCCCCCTTCTCCCCCGCCCCACATATGGTAGTGGTGGTGGAAACACAAACCCCCGACGTCACGATTTGCTCATGACGTCGGCCCCCGACCTATTCCCCAGGACCACCTTTTCCTCCTGAGTCGTTTCTGGACGGCCCCGATGGCCGGCAAGGGCCCCTCAGAGGCCGAAAATAGAGTAGAACAGCTCCCCGTCACGATTTTTGTCATAGCCCTTGGGGGCCTGGCCGGACCGGGCTAGGACGAGGATAAATCCGTTCCAGAGCTTTCCGGAACGCGCTCAGAGCGTTCTGGCACGCGCTCTGAGAAGGCCGCGGCGCCCGGCACTTCTTGAGAGTTGCTGGGTGATAGAGGTTCACGATTTATCCTCACCCGAATTCATCCTCGTCCTGCCCTCATCTCACCCGCACAATCGGGCCCTCGGGTCCCCTGGGGCCCCACGGAGGCGCGGCGCTGCGCCCGCGGCGGCGGCCGCCGCCCTGGCGCGGGCGCGCCGCCGGGAGCCGGTGCGGGCCCTGCGGGCGCCCTGCGCCGCCCAGGCAGCGAGCGCGGACCCGTTTGCGGACCTCGAGCACAGCGACGAGCTGCAGGACCCGGTCGGCGGGCCGAGGGCACGTCTGCCGGCGTCGCCCGTTAAGGGGGAGGTGGAGGAGGAGGAGGAGGAGGAGGAGGAGGAGGAGGAGGAGGAGAGGAGGAGGAGGAGGAGAGGAGGAGGAGGAGGAGGAGAAGAGAAGAGAAGAGAAGGAGGAGGAGGAGAGGAGAAGGAGGAGGAAGAGGAGGAGGAGACGAAGGAGGAGGAGAGGAGGAGAAGGTGGATGGGGGAGGAAGCGGAGGAGGAGGAGGAGGAGGTGGAGGAGGAGGAGGCGGAGGAGGAGGAGTCCAAGAGGGCCCCGCGCGCGAGGGCGAGCCCACGCACGGCGCTGTCGGAGATCGCCCCTTCCCGGGGTCCCTGCCCTGCCCGAGGGAACAAAAACCCGCGCAGGGCTCTGTCCGTGGACACCCTTTCACGGGGCCCCTGCCCGAGCCTTCGACGTTCGCCGGTTTGAAATTCTCATCCGCAGCGGCTGGTTGATTGCCACCTCCTGTCAAGTTTTTCCAGAGAGCGGCCCAGAAGGATCAGGAGGGGAGAACACACACAGGCACAATGAATCGTCGATCCCCCGGAGCATGTGGGAAAACATGGACGGTGGGGGGGCTAGACGAAAACTTAGAACATGTGAGAAAATATGGGGAATCCTGGGACGTGTGTCTATTTGTGTGTGTGTGTGTGTCCTTGGGCCCCTTCAAGAGAGGCCAACGTCGCTGCATCTTCTCGCGCCAGCGCGCGGTCGTCGATGCACTCGGCACGCAGCCGCGCGGTTCGTTCCGAGGGAACAAAAAAAAACTGCCGCGAGAGATCGGCCACGCGCAGGGAGAGGGGGGGGGGGGGGCAGAGGGGAGTCCGAGGAACTTAAGGCACCGCTGCCGCCAGCCTTTGGCCGTTTTCCCCTCTGCTCGGCCTCCTGAGAGAGGCCCTCGCCGCCGCCGCTGGATGCGCTAAAAAAAGGGGGTGCGACATCGCTGCCTGCTCGTTTCCCCAGGGAAGGGGAAGGCTCCTTAAACAGACCCCTTCTTTTCAGAAGGCGCGGGCCATATCTGTAGACGTAAGGCCGGCGCCTTCTCAGAAGCAGGTTCCTTCTGAGAAGCCTCCCCCCGTGCCCCTGGCCCCTTTGAGAGCGCCGCCGAAGAGTGGATGTGAGATTGTGTATTGCTTCATGGGAGCCTCAGGGGGTCCCAAAATTCGTCGCGTTGTGGAGAATGTCGTCCAGATGTAGTCGGAGTTGGTCGACATGTGGACGAACTCTGGACGAAGTCTGGACGAAAGGGCGAAGGAAATCTGGACGAAATCCGGTCGCAATCACGTTTCTGATAGGGCGCGGAGGTAGGCTCCCATGAAGGTTCACCCAAAAGACATCCGAGCGATGCAATTTGTTCACCCCGGGCGTTTTCGCTGTTTTTTTTTCGGGCCCCAGGACCATCACAGATCGAGCTGGCTCGGAAGATGCCGCAGAAAAGATGGGGTCTGGGGCTCCAGTCGTGACGCGAGAGAGACTCAGAGATCCAACGCGTGAAGCAAGAACCAAATTGAGTTTTGTGCCGTCTTCTGCCTTGGGGGGGCCTCGCTGGGCCCTGGGACCGTCAGACAGCTACTCAGGATGAAAACCAGTCTCGGGGAAATGGTCGTGACTTCCAGGAATCCCGTGCTTGAGAACCTCAGATCCCGGAGCTTCGGGGAGGTCGGGAGAGAGTTGCAGGACTGCGACATCCTTTTCCTTCTCCCCCGTCACCCCGTCCTCCTCGTTCTCCTCCTCCTCCTCCCCCTCCTCCCCGTCTTCCTCGTCCTCGTTCCCCTTTGTCTTCCTCCCTGTGCTCATCCTTTCCTTCCATTCCTTATCCTCATGAATAGTTTTCCCTGTCGCACCCCGAGGCCAGCCAGTTTTTAGGGCGGGCTGGGCCTTTCGCCTGAGACTTCCTCACCATCTACGACCCTGAAGTTTAAACATTGGCAACAGTTTCACTGGAGGGCGGGCCGTTGTCAAAATGTGGCTCTCGCCTCAGCGCCGCGCACATTCGTTGTTCAAATGTGCAAGAGTGTCACTGATTGAGAGCGAGTGGTTTTCAAAATGTGGCTCTCGCTTTAGCGCCGCGCACATTCGGTTTTCACACTTGCAAGAGTTTCACGGATTGAGAGCGGGTGGTTTTCAACACGAAGTTCTCGCCTCAGCGCTGCGCACATTCTTTTTTCAAAGTTGCAAGAGCTTCGCGGATTGAGGGTGGTTGGTTTTCAACATGTGGCTCTCGCCTCAGCTTCGTTGTCAGTATACAAGATTTTCGCGGATTCCCATGATCGACGTACCAGAAAGAACGTGTTGGACGGATTCGCGACCATGAGGGTGCAACAGTTACGATGGCTCGCGGTGTTGCAGTCCCAGGAATGGCGTTCTGGCACGGTCCAGGGTCGCCAAGACGCAACAGTCAGGTTGATTCGTGGCGTTGGAGCCCGGAGAACACTGCTTTGGCACGGTTCAGGGTCTTTCAAACGGTTGTCTTCCAACGAGGCAGGCCCCTCTGTGGAAATGAAGCGTTGTACGGGCCGATGAAGAGGAAGTTGGTTGCTGGGGGAGGGCTTACTCCAACATCGTTGGTGACTCTTGGATTTACATTCGTCGTCGTCCTCCTCCTCCTCCTCCACCTCCTCGTCCTCCTCCTCCTCCTCCTCCCTGGGCCGAGGGGCCGCACTCCTGCGATGCGGCAGGCGAGGCCCGTCGCCGAAGGCGACGGCGTTGCGGGCGGACGCCACTGGCGGGCTTGCCCCAGAAGTCCCTTTGTGGGTGTGGGTGTCCTTATGTTGGAGCCTCTGGGGCCGTGGCAGAGAGAGAGAGAGGGGAACATATGTTCTTCCCTGCTGAGCTGGACGGTGATGCGTGCGGGGTCCATTCGATTCGGCTTCCACCGCAGCAGGGTCCGTCACGGATACCGCTTCGATGTCGGTTCCGGCCTGGTCGACCCGATTCGGCACCCGTTTTCCAATGATCCGATGCGAGCACGGGCCGATGAATTCATGGTTTTGTTGCGCAATTTGGCGCAGCCGATCCGATCCGATTCCGACCCCATGCCGGTGCGGCCCCCTTCGATGCACGCTCCGACCCCCTCCGAGTTCCCGATTCGATGCTGACTGACCCTGCCGTGGACCCAGACCCCCGACGTCATGAATTTTTCATGATGTCGACCCCCAGTGGTCTGGACCCATTCCCCGGGACCAGTTTTTCGTCCTGAGTCGTTTTTTGACGGTCCCGAGGGCCGGCAAGGGCCCCCAGAGGCCAAAAATAATGAAAGACTTCCCGTCGTGATTTTTTCATAACTCGAGGGGGTCTGGGGAGGGGGGAGGGGCCTCCCGAGGCAGAGGGGCCGCTCTCCGCTCCACGCTCTCCGTGGGCCCTTCGAAGGGGGGCCCCGTCGTCTCCGCGCCCCCATCAGGCAAGTAAAAGACCCCGTTCCGCGCTGCCTGCTGGCCCTTTGGGGGGGGGGCCCTGTCTCGCAGGCCCAGAGGTTGACACCAACACCAATATCGGTGGTGTGCCTCCACCGAGGGAGGAAGGTCCCGATCTCGGTGACGGTGGTAGTAATTCTGGTCTCCAAGGTGGCCGAACTATTACCAGCAACGCCGAAAAAACTCTGACCCTCTGCCCCCCCGTGGAGGCAACCCCCTGTGTTGGTGTTGGTGCCCGTTTCCAGGCCTCCAACTGTCGGCCTGACCGCGCCCGGAGGGAGAGGGGCCCTCCTCGTTCCGCGCTCTCGAGTTGGCCCTAATTAAGGGGGGTACAGGGTCCGCCTCGTCGCCATGGCCGGGCGCCGCTGGAGCCGGAGGGAGGCGATCGGGCTCCGCGGGACCCGTTCGCCTGCAGGGCCCCCCCTCCTCCTCCCGCACGGCCGAGGACGACTGGGACGGGCAGCCGGCGCCCCGAACGCCCGTCTCGAGGTTCGACGCCGGCATCTCGGACGAGGACCGAAGAAGAAGAAGAGGAAGAAGAGGACGAAGAAGAAGAGGTTGAAGAGGTCTCGGGGGTACGTGCCCAGACCCCCTCAGGTCGTGAACAAGTCATGGCGGGAGGATTGCCTCACTGTTCGGCGTCTGGGAGGACGCACTGGCCGTCGGGACCGTCCGCGAACGGCGCGGGATGAAAAACGGTTCCCCAAAATGAGTCCAGACCGCTAGGGGGCCAACGCCATGGACAAAATCATGACGTCGGGGGTCCGGGTAGAGAGGGAGTTCCCACGAGGTGGGGACATGGAGCGGACCCAGCTTGAGGCTGATTTGTCCTCTTTCCATGGCGATGTTCCTCTTGACCCCACCTCTGGGCCCTCCCACCTTTACCTCCCGTCGAACTCTGAATGATGCAGGCCCGCTCGCCCGGAGACCGCTCGCACAGAGAAGTACCGCTCGCCTGGAAGCCCGCTCGCCCGGCAGCCCGCTCGCCCAGAGACAGAAGCCCGTTCGCCCTGAGACCGTTCGCCCGAAAGCCCGCACCGCTCGCCCGGAAGCCTGCTCGCTTGGAAGCCCGCTCGCCCCGAAGTTCGCTCACCCAGGCGCCGGGACGCCAGACCAGGGGAGAGGCAAGTGAGTGCGTATTGGAGGAGGGGGAGGAGGAGGAGGAGGAGGAGGAGGGGGAGGAGGAGGAGGAGGTGGAGGAGAAGGAGGAGGAGGAGGCGGAGGAGGCAGGAAAGGGTCGCTGAAGTCAGATAATACAAATCTTGGCCAATGGCATCGCCCCCGCGAAGTATTGTGCGCACCCGCTCCCCCCCAGCTTCCGCTAGTCTTGATGGCTCAGGGCCTCCGAGAGGTGCGATGCAGCCACTTCGGTGCACGCGCTGAGCCAGGTGAGAATGGTCTTGCCTCCCTGGCTCAGCACGCTCTTGGGTGAGTGCGGCCCTCGCCTCCCCTGTGCGCGCCCTCCAGGGCTGCGCCTGCCTGGCCGCCCCCGGAAGCGGCCCAGGGAGCAGCGCCGCGGACAGCTGGCGCTCATCCCCAGACCCCCGACGTCATGATTTTTCATGACGTCGACCCCCAGCGGTCTGGACCCTTTCCCCGGAACCGGCTCTTCGTCCTGAGTAGTTTTTTTGACGGTCCCGAGGGCCGGTAAGGGCCCCCAAAGGCCAAAATAATGAAAAACCTTCCGTCGTGATTGTTTCATAACTTGAGGGGGTCTGGGTCTCCCGCTTGCCCGCCTGGGCGTCGGCGCTCTGGCGGCACTTCGGGTCCCTGTCGGCGGCCGCCCTGCGCCTCTCCGCAGCGGCGCTTGCGCGGCGTGGCTCGCCTGCTCGAGGACGTGCCTGCCGGCCGAGCGGCCTGCCGCTCCCCCTGATGGCTTCCAGACGGTGGCCGGCCGCAGCCGTGGCTCCTCGTCTGGCGGCGAGGCGGAGGCCATAAAACGACGCGAAGATCGGGACAAAATCGGATCGGGATAACTCGAAATCTCTGAGAATCGGCGGGCTTGTAGGGTGTATTGGGCGCCGCGGCCGCTCCAGAGCGTTCCGGAACGCTCTGAGAGCGCTCCGGAACGCTCGATCTGGAGCGATTTATCCCGATCCTAGCTCTGTTTCAGGCCAGCCGCAGCGGCGCTTCCTGGTGCGCACCGTGGCGGTGAACCGCCAGCCGCCGCCCCGGATCCTCGCGTGCGCCGCAGGGGCCCGCCCCTGGGGAGCAGGCCCATCGCTGCGGGGGCCCCCCCCAGGTCCCTCGCGTGGCCCGTGCGGCACGGGGCGCAGGGCTCCAGAGCCAGTAGCCCTCACTGGTGTCGGTCTCGGACCCGCGGCTCCAGCGATGGCCGGTGGTCGGTCGGCTGGTCGCCCGGCGCTCCACTTCTCCACAGAAATTAGTGGAGCGGGCGCTGCCGGGCCAAGAGGGCCTGTCGGTGAGGAGGGGCGGAAGGACAAGGAGGGCGAGCGCCTGGCCGAGGAGCTGAAGGCGAAGCTCAGGGAGCTCAGAGGGGGCACGGTCAACGATCGGCTGATCGACGAGGTCATCGAGCGGGCTGGCAAGCAGGTTAGGACGGCCCGCGACAGGTCGCGCGGGCGCTTGCAGAAGCGCTCGAGGAGCCGATCGCGCAGGTCATCGAGCTCGTGGTCGAGTTTTCGCCAGGCTTGGCGGTCGTCACAGGAACCCGCGGTAGAGATCGCACGACGGCAGCCAGGCGCCCTCCTCACGGCTCCTGAAGACAATCCACTTGTACTTGGACTCCATGGGGGCGGACGAGGATCCTCATGGACCCAAGTCCCCCGTGGACACGTACCTCGCGCTGGTGCTTCTGCCAGCCTCGGGCGACCGTGGGTTAAGGAACACCCGCGATCGACCGTTTGTTGGCTGGTCGAATCAGCGAGGTCTGCGACCTCTTGGTGCAGATGACCCGCGCCGTGGAGGCCTCGCACCAGTCGAGCTGCACATGGGGCGTGGCCAGGCACGCCGAGGTGATCGGAGACAACCCGGTTTCCAGCCTGACCGATCGCGAGAGGGAGGTGGCCGTGCGGCAGGAGAACGAGGATCGGAAGTTCAAGGACTTGGTCGCCAAGGCCAAGGCGGGGCCTAACTATTCGGCCGGGCTGACGGCGTTGGCGCGTCGCCGGCTTCGAGGCCACCCCCGCAAGGTCGCGGTCGCGGCCAGCCAGCAGCCCCGCCTCCGAAGGCTCCGTCGAGTGGCAGCCCTGGCCGTCCGCTGCCGCCGCCGCCCCCTGGCGGGCCTCGAGGATCCAGGTGGGCCGCCAACCAGGGCAGCCCCTCCAGTGCAGGCACCGTTTAGCGCGGCGGACGGGGGGCCGTTGCGACCAGCAGCACCGAGCAGCGGAGGCAGCGGGCGGCGGCCCAGGACGCCTGTCGCCCATGAGGAGGCGGCGCGGCGCGGAGGTCAAGAGGAGCGGGAAGCCCCAGGTCTTCAGGGGCACCGCCAGCGATGGAGGCCACGCGGAGGGACGCCCTCATTGCGGGGCCAGGCCTCCCTTGGCCCCTCGCTGAGACCCGCGCCAGCGGCGGAGGCGCCCCGCCCCCGCAGCCAGGATGCACCCCCCTGTTTCTGGCTCCGGTGGGGGCCCGGGAGCCCAAACTCCCTCCTGTTTCTGGCTGCCCCAGCACCCCGTCGCCCCCCTCGACGGCCGGAGCGCCCGCCAGGAAGCGCGCCCGGCGGAAGCCGCGACAACAAGTGGCCCGGGCGCGCCTCAAAGGGGGATGCCGGGCAGAGGTGCGGGGCCCGCCCAGTCTGGCCGGGAGTGCCCGCGAGCCTCACGGGAGGGCCGCGACGTCCGTGGCTTTGGCGCCACTCTGCTGCAGGACGTGGCGAGTGGCAGAGCGTCGATCGGTTCGGCGGCAGACAGTTTGGTCGAGGGTTGGGCCAACGCAGCATCGGAGGGGGGTGGTGCACGAGATCTACTCCCATCGCCGATCCTTGCAGGCTCCGCGGAGGAGTGCACCAGGCACACGGGAGATCGTTCGTCAATGTTCGGGGCATGCGTTTCGAAGCTGGGTGCGTGGTCGTGGCTTTGGCTAACTACGCGTACTTGGTTTGAATGTGTTATATGGTGGCTACGGCCAGCGGCTGGAGAGGGCCAGCGCGCCCTCGAAGCCTAGAAGTCCTCCATCCAAGGCGCAGTCCATGGCCGTGCTCTTGCTCGCGCAGAAGGTGGACTGCATCTTGGGCCCGGGCGTGGTCGCACCGTGCGAGGATTGGGCCACAAGCCTGAAGTCCGCGCGAATTGCCTGTGATGGTAGCGACGTGGAGCGAGCCCAGAGGCCCCCCTGGGCCCAGGTGTTCCCGGGCCTGCTGCGGCCCGAGCACTGCGCAAGCATCCCGGCCGAAGAGATAGCAGAAAGGGGTCGTTAAGGAGTTTCGAAAGAACCCGCACCAGTGCTTGCAGGACTTGGAGGCCCTCGAAGCACCCCCGAGGGCGGGCGCGCTCCTGATCCAGTCAGGCGGGGACCTTGTGATCACCAAGGAACTGATTTCAAGGGGCCTTTGCGTGACCCTGGAGGAGCGCGAGCTCATCAGCATTGCGCGGGCACCTCCTCAACGGGGTCTTCGGCGTGCCCGAGGGAGAGCAGCTGGGGCCCGAGGCGGAAAACAGGAAGGGTCAAGACGTGCTATTGTTCATCATGGACTTTCCTGCTTCAAACAGTGCGCAGGAGCTCTCAGGGGGGGGCATCAACCTCTTGCCGCATTTCAGGATGTGGAGGCAAGTCATGCTGGAGGGCGAGCAGGAACTTGCCTGGGGCAGGCTGGACTTGAAAGGTCGTTTCTATCTCTTCCGATTCCGGCGGGCCTGGGCCCCCCTGTTCGCCTTCAGTTGGCACTCTGAGGCGTCTGAGCTGGGGGGTCCTGGGCATGGCCATCGCTGGCTTGCATTCGGCCGCATTGCTGGTGGGCTGGAAGTCGGCCGCGGGTTGGAGACGTTACTTGCATCGCAGTGCAGGCTCCTCACGCGGACGGGGGCCCCGGACATGGCCCCCCCCCCGTGCCGAGGGAGCTAAGGGAGGACCGTGCTGCGCCGCCCACGTGGCCAGGCCACGCCGACATGTCGGCGGCGTGGCAGGCCTTCGCGGACGACCTCGGCGCGCCCGAGATCTTCGAGTCAAGAGGGGATTTGGCATTGTGACGCGGCGCGCGCCCAGCACGCCGCGCGCGAGGCCCCGACCTCGGCGGAGAAGGCGGGCGACAGATTGCAGATCGCTCAGAGGCTGGGCGCGCGGATATCGACGGAACTGCCGTTGCCAGTGGCCTGGGCGCCGGGCAGATCGGGCGCGTTCTCAGCACGGCGCACTATCTTCTCACGAAGGGCGCCAAGGACGCAGAGGAATGCAGGTTCCCGGCGGCCATTGGACCCGTCTTTTCCAGTTATGCCAGGAAGCGTCGAGTCACTCTTGTCGCTGTTGGCGACTGTTTTGCTACAGCGGGAGAGTAGTGGCCACCGAGCTCGTGGGGATTGTGCTGTGGTTGTGCATCGTGCACCTACCACTTCTTGTCATGTCTCGAGCGGCCGTCGATCCCGTCGTCGCGGCGTCCGACGCCTCCGAGCATGGCGGAGGCGTTTGCGCGCCTCGCAGCCTCGCGCCCACTGGTCGCATGGACGTCGCGCATGACCACGCGCTCCTCGCTCGAGGGGCGACGGGCGGCCTGGGCTTAGTGGGCCTGCGCGACGGGGCCGGAGGTGCAAGACAAGCTCTGCACCTACTGGGTATCTCGCCGGCCATGTACTGCAGCAGCGAAGGGGGCGACGTGGCCCTCAGGGTCACCCGGGCCCGCTGGCCTGGCGCAGTGGTGCCCGGAAGCATGGGCAGTGCAAGCCAGGCCTCCTTCGAGCCGCTCGCCAGTCGGTTCTGCAATCCGTCGTGCATCGTAGTCGTTAGGGGCAGCCCCTGCCAGGACTCGAGTATTCTGTTCAGGTTTCTCGCGGCGGCGGCGGCGGTGTAGCGCGCGTCGCCCACTGCGAGGTCCACTGGCTCTTGGAGAACCACATATAACAGCGCGAGCGCAGTGCCAGTTCACCACTCTTCTGGGCCAGCGCCCGCTCCTCGGGCGCCCTGGTGGGCAGGCCGGCCCGGCAAAGCTGCCGCGTTTGTATTGGGCGAGTTGGGCGGTCAGAGCTAGCCGCCGATCCAGGGTGGAAGATGCCGAGACCGTTTAAGAGGCGGTGGTCGAGGGCCCCCGGCGATCCTCCGCCTCCGCACGTGAACCTGGAGCTCGCCCGCGCGAGTCGACCATGTGGCCGCGCGAAGCCTTCGTCAGGGCAGCGAGAAGAAAGCGCCCTCCGCGCAGGCCGGCCCGCCGGAAGTCCTGCGATCAGAACGCGTTGGCGCGGTGGCAGGTCGGCGGCATGAAGCGCCCGCCCTGCCAGTGCAAGCTGGCCACCTGCGTCCGGCAGCGCATGACTGCGCCCATTGGCGGCGAACGGGAGGGAGGCAATGATGGGCCACGCCAAGCGGGCCCTGGGGCGCGCGAAGCAGCACCCCGCCGCCCAGCTGGAAGATGCACGCTGCGCGCGGATCGGCGTCGGCTTCCACGCCTCGTGCATTGCCTGGCTCCTCGGCGCCGTGCTGCGCGACGGCGGTCTGCTGGAAGCCAGGCCAGACTTCGCGAGCTGCTGGGGCACTATCGCGGAAGGTGATGCCAGCGCAGCAGCAGGGCGCCTCCTGAGCTCGGGAGGCAGCCGGCGTTCGCTGGAAAAGGAGGCCGCGGCTCTCCTCCACCGCTCGGCCACGTTTCAAGGCTCGGGCGTGTGCCTGGCCGATCAAGTAATCCCCCACTTGGGATAAGGTCTAGGAGGGGCTTGGACCCCAGCCAGTGGGACTGGAGGGTCGTCCTTTCTTCCCCCCTGAGCGGGGATCACATAAACGCACATGGGTTAAGAGCAGTTTCAACACTCATCAAGTGGAGGACTCGGCAAAGCGCCGGTCTCGGCAGACGCGTTGTCCATGCATCGGACTACCTGGTGTGCATGAGTGCTCTACTTAAGGGGTATTTTAGTTATATATATATATATATACATATATATATGCAAGCTGTTCTTAGGCCTATCAGCGCCCACGTCGTTGCCTCGTGCTTGGTCCCGGCCTTCATTTATACAGCGTCCGCTGATAACCCAGCGGATGCACCTCCGAGATGGCCCCAAGGGCGAAGTCTGCAGGTGACCGAGCGCGGCGACGGAAGTCGAGCGCGCGCGTATTAGGACCGCTGAAATATATTCAGCTGAAGCCTGGGACTCCGAAAAGGCACGGCAACGCAGTCAATCTCTCCTTTGCCTCGATGGACAACATGCCACACCTGGTGCCGATTAACACGGGCAACTTCGGTATCTGAATATGTGAATACTTTGAGTGGACTCTCGCGGTCGGGGCCGCCTCCGCGCCGGTCGATCGCGGGAGCGCGCGCGGACGCAGCAGATTTGCAGTCGCTGTTCGCGTGGACTCCCACGGTCGAGGCCGCCTCCCAGCTGCAGAGGCCGTTGGTCCAGCCCGAGGGGTGACAAGAAAAAATGAACGTGAGAACGGAGGCTGGGGCTAGAAGCGGAGCAGCAGGAGCGGCGCACCACAAATGGCATTTTGCGCAGTTCGTTCGAAGGTGAGTGAGAATCAGGGCCAGCCTGCGATGGGCCCTCGAAGAGTGACCGCGCAGTTTGCCAGCACATTCTGCGTGGGAGACGGAAGCTGCGGAGTACTGGGTGCGCGATGGAGACGGAGGCGGTGGAGTAGAGAGTGTTGTTTCCAACCATCCTGTTGTCTTGGGTTCTCGTTTTGAAGAGACGGCGCCCCGCGTTCTTTCCTCCTTCCCGCCCTCCTCCCCCTCCCCCCTCCTCCCACCATCATAATCACCAGCAGCATCAACATCAACATCATCACCATCACATCCTCCCCCTCCTCCCTTCTCCCAGTCCTTGCCCCTGCCTTCACGATGTCTCTGTTTCGGTACACCCCTCACACGTTTAGCGGCCCCATAGGGGGCCCCACCTAAGGTCGCACTGGCGCAGTTCGCATGGCGCCGCCGCCCCATTTTGGCACACCCCTCACACGTTTCGTGGCCCCACAGAGGGGCGCCACCTAAGGTCCAAATTGTGCAGCTCGCATGGCGCCGCAGCCCCATGTTTGGCACACCCCTTACACGTTTCGTGGCCCCACAGGCGGGGGGGGGGGGGCTCCGCCTGAGGTCGAAGTGGCGCAGTTCGCATGGTGCCGCCGCCCCATTCTGGCACACCCCCAATGGCACAGTCAGCATGGCGCCGCCGCCCCATTTTGGCACACCCCTCACACGTTCCGTGGCCCCACAGGGAGCTCCACCTAAGGTCGAAGTGGCGCAGTTCGCATGGCGCTGCCGCCCCATTCTGGCACACCCCCAATGGCACAGTTAGCATGGCGCCGCCGCCCCATTTTGGCACACCCCTCATACGTTCCGTGGCCCCACAGGGAGCTCCACCTAAGGTCGAAGTGGCGCAGTTCGCATGGCGCCGCCGCCGCATTGTGGCACACCTCTCATACGCTTCGTGGCCCCACAGGGAGCTCCACCTAAGGCTTCAGTGGCGCAGTTCGCATGGCGCCGCCGCCCCATTTGAGCACACCCCTCACACGTTTCTTGCTTCGCCACCGTCTGGGCCTAGGCCGACTTCAGGACCCCATTGACCCTGACGGTGTAGGCCGTCTTGCCCAGGGGCTGGCTCTTCTGGCGCAAATCCTGCAAGGCCATCGAACGAAGCTTCTTGCGAAGCCATCCCGAGAACATCTCCGCTGGGTTGAGACCGGGGCTCTCGGGATGAACGCTCCAGAGGGCGACGCCCTTCGTCGTGTAGGCCTTCATGCTGATCGTGTCCCTCACAAGCCCCTCGCTGTCGCAGGGGGCGGTCCATGGGCCCTTCTTCTTCTTGGGGTTCAGCGCGCGCAGGGCAGCGGTCAGTTTCCCATCCCTCACCGCCTGGGACCAATCCTTTTGTTTGTCTTTTTGTTGTCTGGATGCCAGAGCACCGCGGCGAAGCCGTCCTCGGACAACCCTTTAAATCCCCAGGACGATGTTTTGTTCCTCCTTGGGCCCAGAACGACGGCTTGAAGTCTTGAGCAAACGCGAATGAGGTAACCACCGTCGGATCCCGTCAAGTTCGCGCGGATCCAATTGTGGCTTTAGGGTTTGCTTCGGTGGATCCGAGTTCCGTCCGCGCGGATCCGATTTCGGATTTGCTGGATCCGTGCGCGGTTTTATTTTTTACCGCGGATCCGATTCTTACCCCGTTTAAAATTTATAGTATTTATTTAAAGCGGGGAACGGGAAGAAATCGGATCCGCTGACCCCAGAACCCGCCCGTGTTACGAGTCTACGGGAGAAGGGGGTTCGGTCATTAGCTTCCAACTTATCATCGCCATTCGCACCTCAAGAGGAAATGTTTCGTCCCGCGTACGTAGAAGAACCGATGTCGATAGCGGGACGTGCTTGTCGTAGTCACCGGCCCCCGCAAGCGCAGGCACGTTTGCTTCGGCCATCTTCCTCCACATGTGCGTTGCACCGCCCCACGCCATCGCGAGCATCGCCATGACCGCCATCACCATAAGCGCCGTCATGATCATCATCTTCATCGCCATCACCATTGACGTGACATTGGGCCCTGACCGGATGAAGCCATGAGAGACGGGATGGACTGCCATGATCCCCATCTCCGTGACGACAGTTTCGCCAACAGCGCACCAGCGCAGAGCAGTTCGGAGTGTAGCCACAACAGCTATTCCGCGCGTGGGCGCGTCCCGCTCGAAAGTTCATACGGTTTGGCGCGGAATAGTTTCCGATCTGGTTTGGGGGTAATTGAGTTATTAGCATTCGGCGGATCGGGAACTACTCCGTCAAATGACGCAGTCATCATGTCTGGTTATTCATCTTCAGAGGGATAGGAGATATCATCATCATGGCTGATTGGAGAAACTGTTGTCACGGTTGTGTATGGGGAATCTTGGGATTGTGTGTATTTCTTGGTGTGTCCCTGCGCCCCATTCATGTGATTGTTCTGCTGGAGGAGAGGGCGGTGCTGAACGAGGCCGCCGAAGAGATGAGGCGGACGGGCAAGATCTCGAAGGCGACCAGCAGGAGTCTGCGGTTCAACAGTGGAGTCCTGAGGGATGGGGTCCCAACGACGAGGTGCCTTGAACAACGCAAATCCACCCTTGGATTCCTTTATACCCATAGACCCCCATCCCTCAAGACCCCATCCTTGAATCACCGAAGGAAGATGGAGGAGGCCCGGTGGAACGACGTGATGACCACGGGCCGGGTTCCTCAGCGAAGCGCAGAGCCACCCATTCGGGCCATGAAACGATCATGGCGGGGAGTTGTTCGCTATTCTCGGCCTGTGGGAGCCTTTACTGGCCTCGGGACCGTTAACAAACGATTCAACATAGGGTCCAGACCGCTGGGGGTCCTCAGATGGAGAACGAGTCCCAGGGAAGGGGTTCAGACCGCTGGGGATCCACGTCATGAACAAGTCATGGCGTCTGGGGTCTGGGAGCGGGGTAGGGGGAGGGGGGAAGGCTTCTCAGAAGCACCCCCCGCTTCTCAGAAGGCGCGGGCCGTCTCTATAGATGTAAGGCTGGCGCCGTTGAGAAGAACCCTCCTTCCAAGACGTCTTCCCCCCTCCCCCATACCTCCTTGTGCGCGCCGCCAGGTTCCCCCTCCGATGAACGCCATTGAGCAGCAAGAACTGGAAAAGATCCTGAATGGTTTCCAGACGCCCGGGGCGGGGGATCAGAAGCCGCAGTGGGCGCGCGTGCCGTTGAACGAAACCTGGTCAATGATGATATCGACGCCCATGTTCAACGCCCAGAACATAGTGGACACGATTGTTCAGGAGAGAGAGGTGGGCGACGACAAACGGGTCCAAGTGCGCCGACATTGGGGTGTAAGTTCCCCGCGCCAGGTTGCGCATGAGCGCCCTCGCCTCCAGCGTGGCGTGCCGGGCCGGCGGGCCGCGTAAACCGCCGCGTAATAGGTCGCTGTGCCACCTCGCGCAGGGCCCTTTTGTGATCGTCGCCCAGGTGTCCGACGACAGCATCGACGAGTTCTACCGCGGCGACCGCCTGTGGCCCTCGTCCGTGGTGCTCGCTCGCTGGCTGGCGATCCACCCGAAGCCCCCCGCGCCGCTGCGGGGGAAGGTCGTGCTGGAGCTGGGGGCCGGGAGGAGGAGGAGGAGGAGGAGGAGGAGGAGGAGGAGGAGGAGGAGGAGGAGGAGGAGGAGGAGGAGGAGAGGAGGAGGAGGAGGAGGAGGAGGGGGAGGGGGAGGGGGAGGGGGGGGGAAGGTCGTGCTGGAGCTGGGGGCCGGCCTGGGGCTCCCCTCCCTGACCGCTGCGCGGCTGGGCGCGGACAGCGTGCTCCTGCAGGACCCAAAAAGCAGTGGCGCAGCGTGCTGGCGCGCCTGTAGTCCTGCCAGACTCGGGCCGGACGAAAGGGGGGGATTGGGAAAGGGGAGGTTACGAAATTTGCTGCATGCAGCTGGTTTCGGCTCCACCGAGGGGCCCATTCTTCGATACATGGGCGCCTCCTGGCGCCGGGAGGCGCCAGGAAAATCAGCTACCAGAGCTGATTCTCAACCCCCCCCTTTGCTATCCCCCCCCCTTTCGCCCGACCCGACAGACAGTGCTCTGAGAAGCTCGTGCGCGGTTCCCGCGGGATGTTCTTCGAACAGTTCTGGCTGGAGCTCTCTCGTTTCAGCACATCGGGCTCATGTTCTAAGGGCACTGTCTGTGTTCTTGGAGCATGTTGGGTCGTGGTAGGCCTACAGAAATGCCAGGACGGTCGGCCCCTGCTCAAAGGACAAAGATGGGGCGGCCCTGCAGGAGGCGATGGTGTCGGTCGTCGAGGGCAACCAATCCTCCGTCGTGTCGGCGCTCAGGAGCACGTGGGACGAGCTCCCCGAGAGACTTCTGAGCGCCCCCGAGGACCCGGGAGTGAAAACCCGGCTCAGGACGCAGCTCCTGGGAGGTGAGATTCTGAATCGGTGCTGGCATATCCCTGGTCGGACATGTTTTTATCGTGCTTGATCCCGCTAAGCCTGGCTTAATCCCCTTTTATCTGGCTCAATCCCGCTCGGTCTGGCCTAATCCCAGGCTTAATTTGGCCTCATCCCGCTCAGTGGCCCCTTGCGCAATCGGGCTTCATAGCCTTCCATCGCTCTGACGATGAGCTCCCAGGAGTTACCGATTCCGGTAACTGGTGCAGGTGCACCAATCGCCAGCCAGAGCGCGCTTGTGCGAAGAGCCCCTCGCCACGCGGCGGTGGCCACGCGGCCGGGCCTTGGAAGGGCATGTCGACACCTTGCGAGCGGGGCGCGGTCAGCGAAAACGGCACGTCCTTGCACGTCCCCGAGGCCCGACAGAAGACATCCGCCGGGATTTCAGATGCGGCGCTCCCAGACCCCATTGGGTCATGGTCAAAAGCGTGACCGGAGAAAGTTGTTTCGCTGTTCTCTGCCTCTCGGGGCCCTACCGGGGCCTCGGGACCGTCCAAAACGACGGAGGATGAATGACCGGTCCCAGGGAGGGTGTCGAGACCTCGGGTCAACGTTGCGAAAAAAACACGACGCCGGAGGTCTGGGCTTGCGGGCTTGGCAAGGCGCGGGCCTGCGCACAGGCAGGCCCCCCTCCCCGAGGCAGGCCTGGCGGGCCTCGACGGGCAGCCCGAGCAGCCCCGGGCGGTGCCTCAGCGCATCCCTGGGGCGCGGAGCGCTGCAGGTGCGCCGCCAGGGGCGGCGCCAGGGTGTGGAGGCCGCCCTGGGCAGCTCGGGCCGGTCCAGCCCGAGCCTCGGCGGGGGTCTGTCTCTTCGCAGGCCCCCCGCCAAGGCCTACGGTGGGGGCGTGGGTCAGGGATCGGAGAAGCGTAAGGCTCGAGTAAGCCGGACCTCGGGTTTGCCGACTTCTTTGCTGGCGAGCGCGTCCTGGATTTTGACGGTCCCGTTTTCGTGGGATGTCTGCAGCGGGAGCCCGCGTCAAATTTCAGGTTGGGTCTCGTCATTTTGATGATGGCCCCCGTCGGACCAGCCCGAGTCCACCGTACCCGAGTCTTACGTCTCCCGGAAAGGAAAGTGTACGGGAGGCTTCAGACCCTGGAGGGTTCCTTATCTGACGAGGGCGGCGGCAATATCCATTGCCAACCCGCGAGTTGAGTTCCGCTGGTTTCCAGACCCTGGGCTCCTTATCCAGTGCTTCCTCATCCAATGCCCCCACCGTGCCATCTCAGACCTCCGACGTCGTGAGTTTCTTCCAGAACGTCGGCCCCAGAGTTCTCGACGCATCCCACTGGACCGCTGTTTCTTGCGCCGTTGTCTGGCGGTCCCGAGGCCCAGTCGGGGTCCCCATCGACCGAGAATACTTTGCGAAACACTTCCCGCCATGATTCCGACAAAGACCAGAAGGGGATCAGGGATTTCGGCAGGTGCACCGCCGGCGTGCCCCCGAGAGGAGTCGCTGAGGCGCTTCGCCGGCGCGGACGTGCTGCTCGGCTCGGAGGTGCTCTACGACGAGCGCGCCGCGGAGGGTGTGGCCGGCGTGCTGGCGAAGCTGCTGCAGACGCAGGTTGCCTGCCGGGGGCGGGAAGGTCACCACCCACCAAACCACCCCAACCCAACCCGAAGCCCTCAATTTGCCCTCCATTTCCAGTGGGGGGGGTCGGGGGACGTTGAAAAAACACATGGAACCCGTACCCCCCCCCAACCCGAAATTGGGGTCAAATTCGGGTCTTCGGGTTGGGTTGGGGTGGTCTGGTAGGTAGTCAGAAGGAGAGGGAGAGTGAGGGGGTGGGCAAACAGCGCCATAGACATGCACACTCTCGGGGCTCCGCACGGATTGGATGGATCGGCGCTCGGGCTCCCCATTCGCGGTGCCGCAGGCTCCGCCGTCCGGAGAGGGGAGGGACGGCGGCGCCGAAGGGCGACCTTTCGCCATGGTGCCTTCTGGTGTGGGCACACGGGGGTTCCACCAGCACTGGCTTGCGCCCTCGGATCGCTTCGATTTGGCCTCCCCCACGACGCCTGCGCAGTCGCGCACCAACGGCCGCTCTTGCCTGGGGTCACTCTTGCGCGCAGCCGGAGGAGGGACGGGAGAGGGGGAGGATCGGGCGGACCAACGCCGCAGAAAAGCCACGACGTCGTGCAACAGGCCCGCGTGGCTGTAGGGGCCCAGGCTGGAGGAACAACGGCCCCAAGGATTGTTGGACGACGCCCGCATGCGAGTGGCGCCCCGACAAAACACTCCCAGACCTTCAGCATCTTGATCATCGAGGCGCACAGTAACCTCCAGTGTTTCGCTCTTCTCGGCGTCCTGAGCTGCTTCCAGGCTCAGGGATGAACGCAAAGAGCGATCCTGGACGAGAACCGCCCCAGGGAAGGTATCGAGAGGTTCGAAGAGGTCCAGGGACCCTGCACATTCAAGGCATTGGAGGGCTTTGGGGGTCCGAAGGCCTTCGAAAACCTCCAGAAAGCATCCAGAAGGATTCAAACACGTCTGAGACCCGCCGAACACCCTCGGAGAGCTGTCAGAAGACATCCAAAGCCCGCCTCACTCACATGTTCGAAGATCCCAGACGTCCGGCGCGTGCATTTCGATGCGTGGGCCCCTGGACTTCCCCACCCCTTCCACGAGGCTATGATTCTCACGTTTCTCATTCCGAGTAGATGTGAGACGGTCCCGCGGACCTAATCGGGACACTCTTGGCTTCTGGAAAACGCACGCGACGCACCCTCAGAGCTCCCCGAAATGTTCGGGAGCGCCTGGGGCGCAGGCATCTAGAATCCTGACTGCAACAGCAGTAGCAGTGTTGACCCTTTGGGACACTCCACATCGGGCTAATGGCACGGTGCCGGCTGTATGCCGTTTTTTTTATTCCCTACCTAGGCTCTGCCTAGAAGGGTTCTTACTCTGCAGCTTAACGGGGCCGGGCAGTGGAAACCGCCCCGGGCGGTTCCCCCAGTCCCCTGGGAGCCGAGCAAAAGCAACAGCAAAGGTAAAAGCAAACGCGCGGTTCCCCCAGTTGCGCTCCCTGGGTGCCAAGCAAAAGCAAAAGCAAAGGCAAAAGTGATGGCAAAAGCGAAGGCAAAGCAAAAGCATAGCATAGCATAGCATAGCATAGCGCAGCATAGCATAGCGCAGCATAGCATAACATAGCCTAGCCTAGCCTAGCCCAGCATAGCATTGCGCAGCATAGCATAGCATAGCATAGCATAGCATAGCATAGCATAGCGCAGCACAACATCCACTATTGTTGCTGTTATATATATATATATGTATATGTGTATGTACGTATAGGTCAAACTTCTAGGTAGGGTCGTACAGGGATACTATACGTATGTATGTATGCATGCATGTATACATGTATGTGTGCATGTAAGGTAATGTAATGTAATGTAATGTAATGTAATGTAATGTAATGTATTGTAATGTAATGCATTGTAATGTAATGTAATATAATGTAATGTAATGTAATGTAATGCAATGTAATGTAATGTAATGTAATGTAATGTAATGTAATGTAATGTAATGTAATGTAATGTAATGTGATGTATTGTAATGTAATGTAATGTAATGTGTATGTGTGTATGTATGTATGTATGTATGTATGTATGTACGTATGTATGTATGTATGCATGCATGCATGCATGTATGTATGTATGTATGTATGTATGTATGTATGTATGTGTGTACATGTGTGTATGTATATGTATAAGTGTGCATGTTTGTGCTTGTGCCTACACATCATGCGCGTGTACACACTTGTACACGTACTGAAATATGTGTGCCAATTGTATACATGTACATATATATGTGTGTGTGCATATGCATAGATGTATGACTACAGCTCGAGCACATCTCGAGGGCCCGCCGAGCCCGAGGGCAGGAGCCGGCGCCGGGGCACGTGGCGGCGGCGGCGGCGACGGCGCCGCGAGGAGCAGCGCGCCTACATCACGGACGCCTGCAAGCAGCGGCACCGAGGCCTCTTCATCAGGCCGGCCTCGGGCGTCGCGCGACCCAGACAGGATCGCGTCGCAACAAAAATCAGGGAGGAGATGTTCCGCCGTTTTCGGCCTCTGGAGGCCCTCGCCGGGCCTCGGGACCGTCAAGGAACGGTTCAGGACGAAAAACCGGTCCTGGGGAAAGGGTCAGCAAACGAAGCAGGACGTCGCATGTCTGGGGACGGGGCTCGGGGCTCACGTCACGGGGTTCGGGGTGTTCGTCGGTTCTGATCGGCCCTCCATCCTGAAGGCGCCGTCCAGCAGCTGCGTTTTCAAACGTGTTCATCGGTTCTCGTCGGCTCTCCAGCCTTGGGGTGCCTTCCAGCAGCTGCGCCGTGCGGAGGGCGTTCCGGGGGTGCCCGGATCGTCCCGAACGGCCGCCAGAGAGCCAAGTTATGGCACGAAAACCATCGGGGCCAGCCCAAGACACGGCGTGGCAAGGCTTCGGGCTGCGCACAGACAGCCCCACCAGGTAGTCCTGGCGTGCCTTCACAGGCCCTCTGAGCAGTCCCAGCTGGCCTCAGCAGGCCCCCCCCGAATAATCCAGGGCGGCCTAAAGTGGCGCCCCTGGGGCGCTCCGCGACCCAGGGTTGAGGTGTTGAGACCACCCTGGACTATTCGGGGGGCCTCTTGAGGCCAGCTGAGACTGCTGGGGGGGCCTACGGAGACCAGCCGGGACTGCGTGGACGGGCTGTCAGCGCGCAATCCAAAGCCTCATCGTTCTGGCGTCGCATTTCTTCACGATGGGCGATTTTGCTTCTTTTCGGGCCATGGGTCCATCACAGGTCGGTCTGGCTCGAAATGCTGCCGCAAGATTGGGCCCAGGGTTCCTGTCGAGTTGTCTAAAACTATGCTAGTGTGTCGGTTCGACCACTCCGACTCCTATGGCAGAGAAGCTGCAATTGGGGGCGTTGTGGTCCTTACCCCCCTTCGGGGGCACATCGGCTTCGACAGTCCTCTCGACAAATTGTCGATACAATGGGCTCTAGGGATAATGAACACAGCTTCCCCAGGTGTGGCTGGTTAGTATGCGGTGCTCCACACATCGAGAAAAGGATATTTAAGGAAACATGTTAAGCTGTTTTGATTGTCCGCGCAGATTTTCTTGGAGCGGTGCTGGGGCCCACCTGGCGGCGCATCTAGCGCCGCTTCTGCTCGCGCTATGACGGGAGGTCCAGCGCCGATCCAAGAAATCCGCTCTTCACCATGCCGGGGCTCATCTGTTTTCAATTGTTCCTGTTCTTACCCAGATCTCCGACGATTTGTTCTCAACCATCCTGTGGTGTTGGGTCTTCGTTTTGAAGAGATACGCCCCGCGTGACTCACTCCTTCCTTTTTCCTCCTCCTCCCTCCTCTCATCCACGCACCTACCCTCCGCATGTCAACAACTCTGATAAACCCCTAACAGGCTTCGCGTCTCCCCAGCCTAGTACAGCGCTTCGTGGCCCCAGAGGGAGCTCCACCGGAGGCCCCAGAGGCGACGTTCGCATGCATCTCCCCTACCCCCCCTATCCAGTATAGCGCTTTCGTGGCCCCATTGGGAGCTCCACCGAAGGCCCCAGAGGCGACGTCCGAATGCGTATCCCCCACCCAGTACAGGTTTTCGTGGCTCAGGGAGGACCCGATAGCGGCCGCCCTCAGAGACCACCACCCCCTGTGGTGTCGCGAATCTGCCACGCGTGCTATGTCCTGGACGACCGTCACGGATAGCGGCCGCGCTCAGAGACAACCCTTTGCGCACCCTCTTACGGTGTCGAGACTATGCCACGCACGCGATGCCCTGGACGACCGTCACGGATGGCAGCCGCCCTAAGAGACCAAACCTTGCGCACCCCCTTTATGGTGTTGAGAGTATGTTTCGCGGTGTCTGCACCAGCGTCGTACGGTGTGTGCGTGTGTGCGTGCGTGTGTGTGTGTGTGTGTGCGCGTGTGTGTGTGCGTGACTGTGTGTGTGATGCGTAGATCGCGCTTGGTGACATCCTCCACTACCTGCGTACACTGTGTGTATGTGTGTGTGCGTGTGTTTGGGTGTGTGTGTGTGTGTCACGTGGTGGATCTGTATGACGTTGTGATGACTGTGACATGTGCACCTGTGTGACGACGAGCGAGAAGGAGGAGGGTGAGGTGTGCGTGTGTGAGAACGACGCGGGTGCGACGCGGATGGGAAGAAAACAGGAACACCACGAAGCATCTGGGGAATCCCAATCCCTCAGATCTCTGCATATCCAGCTATGTTCGCCATCGCTTTCTCCGTTTCCGCGTTGCGACGCTGTGGGCGTCGGCGGCGGAGCAGGGCACATCTGATGGCGGTCGGTGCTCGGTGGGGGTCATTGAGGTCATCGCGTGCCAATCAAGGCGTTCGCGGCAGGACGAACAAGAGGAAGAGAAGAAGGAGGAGGAGGATACGGATCTAGCAGAGGAAGGAGCAGCAGCAGGAAAAGACGGCGGATACGTAGGCCGGGGGGCGACGGGGAACCATTGCAGAAGCAACACCTGCCCAGACACACACACACATGACTATTGAAGGACCAGCTGACAGTCAAAGATTCAAGGCCACTTCCCCACTAAGAGGAGGAGGACCAGATGGAAGAGAGGGATAAGGCGGAGATAGAAAACTAGGGTGGAGGAGGAGGAGGAGAAGTCTGTTGAGGGGGAGGCGTGTGTCAGAGCAGCTCATCACCGAGGCGGAGGATAGCCAGAAGGAGGATGAGGAGGAGGAGAAGCATCAGCAGGAGGAGAAGAGGGAGCTCGGCCTCGGCAGGAGGATCAGCCGAAAAAAGTACGTCCCTCCGGGGATGCCAGCGAGCGGGGGACACGGCTGCTCCTCATCCCTCTGCCCATCGGGCACGGTCAGGCACTTTGGCACAGCGTGTCGCGCCGCTGGGTCTGCCCCACCACGCTTCGGCGCGACGCGGGCCGCGTCGCGCCGAAGCGTGGTGGGGCAGACCCAGCGGCGTCACGCTGTGCCACGTCACGCGGCATCCCCAGCGAAGGGGATGCCGCGTCACGCGGCATCCCCTCACCAACGCCCCGAGCGCGAACGCCCCGAGCGCCCCTCAGCCCCCCCCCCCCCGCCCCGCGGAGCGGAGCGACGCGCCCCATCGCCTGCAGGGCACAGCGCATCGCTGGGGCCGCCTTCCGCTCTCCCCTGGCAATGTTCAGCGGGGTTCCCGCCTCGCTCTCTCTCTCTCTCTCTCTCTCTCTCCCTATCTCTCTTTCTCTATATCTATATATATATGTATATATATATATATATATATATATATATATCGCTCTCTCTCTCTCTCTCTCTCTCTCTTTCTGTCCCTGCACATGCATGGCACATTCGTTGCACGTGCTTTCTATGCCCGGTGGTGCATGCCGCTCTGTTCGATCGGAACGCCCTCGGTTCTTCGAGAATGGTGCTCCCGTTCCCGCTGACGCGCTGGCCAAATTGTGGGATCGGTGCTCTGCCCGCGTCGTTCCGAACGTCGCGTTCGCCCGAGGGAGAGCCGCACTGCTGGATCTGAGTCGTTCCTCGTCGTTGCCGCCGCCCTTCTTTCCCCTACTCCGGCTCTCGCTGGTCCTCCTGATTTTCCTGCTCCTCAAGCTCCTTCTCCTCCTTTCTCCTCCTCGTCATCCTTTCTGATGCTCCTCCTCGGCCTGGCCTCCTGCGCATCCGCCTCTTGCTCCTAGCAACCGATAAGTCAAACTCGACACCTGCCATGTGGGCATCAAGGTCCTCCAACAAGCCCTAATCGGCGGATGGAAAAGGATCCAGCGCAACGGCAAGGGATGGGCGGGAGGGTAGCATGTCAGACGTGACGCGAGCGCACCTAGTTTGGCTCGGGGAGCCTGCTTCACAGGACCAGTAGAGAAAGTGCGCGTGTGATCATCTTTTCTGGCTCCTCCCTGCTTCTGCTCCCATTTTTGTTGCACCCCGCCTACCAGCGCCCCTGAAACTGCAGATGCTTACCATATCTTCAGCGGCCTGCTCTGATGTGCGCATGCCCCCCCGGTACTCTCGACCCTTTCCTTGGGTCATGGCGTTTCTTTCACCATCGGCAGTGTTTGACAGCCTTGCGAGACCGCAAACGGCTTGCAGGCGCAGAGCATGAACAGTAGCAGGAGCGGGAAAAAACAGACACAATGAATCGACGAACCTCAGGAGAATAAGGGAAAATATGGGGAGTGGAGAGGAAGACGGAATTCCAGAAAATATATGAAAAATATTGGGAATCTTGGGGTTTGCATCTATTTCCTTGTTTGTCCTTAGGCCCCATTGAAAGTACTCGTCCTGACGTTTTCAAGGGGTTGTAGGTCTGGGCCCAGGGGTCGCCGAACGGTTCTTGAACATTTCATGGGATGCATTCCGACGGTTGTCCCCAGGTGGATCGAGTCGTGCCGGGGAAGCATAAGACCCGAGTACGCCAGAATCCGGGTATGCCGACGCTTTTTGACGAGCGCGTCCTGGAGTTTGACGGTCCAGTGCTCGTGGGACGTTTGCAGCGGGAGCTCGCATCAACATTCAGACTGGGTCTCGTCGGTTCCAGGATTGCCTCGTCAGGCCAAGCCGAGCCCCCGAATCCGAGTCTTAATTACATCTTCCCGATCGTGGGGACGGGAGGCCTCCCGGAGGCCTTGCAAGGTCCAGAAACGTCAAAACGGCCTCCAACACTGATCCTGCTTGCTTGCTCGATTGCCCGCCATCCCTGTTTCTCACAGGCAGCTCCTCCCTGCCGCACCCCCAGACGTGTCGGTAGGTCGGGCCAGGAGTTTCCCTTGGGAATTCCTCACCATGTGTGATCAAGAGGCTCGGAAATTCGCAACAGCTTGGATGATATAATGCATCTTGGTTTCAAGATGGGGCGCTCGCCCTAGCGCCTCCCGCACTGGCTTTCAAAGCTTGCAGCAGTTACATGATTGGAATACAGGTGATCTTCGAAACGGGGCTCTCGCTGTAGCGCCTCGCCAATTCAATTTCACTAGGCTGCGACAGTTACTCCAGATTTCGTAATAAAAGGGAGGGGGTCTGGACCCCCCAAGACAAGCCATTTCAGACCCTCCCCCGTGGGAGAACCCTCCAAAACATCGTCCCCAGACCCCCCCAGGCCCTCCAAGATAGCCTGGAAGAGACCCCCTCCCCGGAATGAGACCCCCCTCCCTTTATAACGAAATCTGGAGTACAAGTATTGAGCGCAGCTCGTTTAAAAAAATGCTCGTGCTCGCTTGAGACGTCAGCACGTTCCGCAGCCGCGCGGATGGAGAGGCAGGCCTCTTCGAGAACGGGGCGCTCGCGCGATTGTCCATCGACGTCCATGACTCGAGGTGCAACGCCGCGCCATTGTTCCACGGAGGGGGGGCAGTTCTTTTCCGATTGGGGATCTCGTTGGACATCCCGTTGCGTTGTATAATCGTTCCTCTTTCGTATTCCTGGCTACGCGCTCGCCCAAGTGGTATTGGTGTTATGGGCCACGCGCTCGCCCAGTGCTATTCGACACGGGGCTATTGGCTGAATGGCACGCCCAAGTGGCACTGGTGTTTCAAGGGAGGCGCTTCTTGGAGTGAAAAGAGGCTCTTGTAGGGACTTACGGGGATTAGACTTAGGACGGGAGGGTGTATTGCAACATCGCTGATGCATCTTGGGTTTACTCTGACCCTGCTCTTCCCCTTCCTCGAGGAAGCCCCCGACCAAAGTCCGCCCAGAGCTGAGCCCCCAGACCCCGCCCTGAGTCCATCCTGGGCCGGTCTTCGAGCCACGTCGAGCCGTGGCCACGACAACCGCCAGAAGCGCCTTGAAACCTCCCAAACGAAGGCGACGACGTTGTCGATCTCCTCCCTGGTCCTCCTCAATCCTCTGTCCCCCTCTATCCTCGATCCTCTTCAATCCTCGACCCCGCTCGATCCTCATCGCGTCTCGATCATCCCTGGCCTTCGACCCTTCTCGGTCCTCCTCGACCCTCGACCCTCCTCGATCCTCGGCCTTCCGTGATCCTCGACCCTCCCCGACCTTCCTCGATGCCCGTTCGTCCTCGACCCTCCTCGCTCTCGCGAGCGGCCGCGCCCAGGCTCTGCGAGGAGGCGGGCCTGAGCGTGTCTGACGTCGACGTGAGCTGCTGGGAGCCCGAGGAGCTGCTCACGGCATGGATCAAGCTGGCCGAATGGCCAGCACCTCCTCCCGTCGTCGAGAGGTCACGACGGGCGGTTCTCGGCGATGTTCGGCCTCCGAGGGCCATTCCTGGGCCCCGGGGCAGTCAAATAATCACCTGGGACGAGAAACCGGCCTCAACAAGGGGTCCAGACCTTTGGTGTCCACGCTGCGCAAGAATCACGACGTCGGAGTTCTGGGGAAGGTGATCCATTCGGAGCCTCTGGAGACCCTTGGCAGCCCCCAGGGGGGGGGGCAGGACGACGACGATCGAGGGTTGAGAGGGGGTCGCTGCGGAGGTCCACGTTTCCATGGCTGCGGTTTCTTCATCCTTTGGCCTCTGGCAGACGGTCTCGGGCCCGAGGGCTGTCAAGGCACGGCCCGTGGGCCCCGGCTCCAGCCCCTGGGCGAAATGCCATTACGGAGGCCTGAGGACGGGGCGAGGATCGATGGTTTTGAGAAGGCTTGGCCCGAGGGCTTCTGGGTGTCGGGAGTCTGGAGACCGCCAGAGGTAAGGCGGACCACTTTCCGCCCTCCCTCTCATCAGATTTGTTGTTCCTCCTCCGCCTCGCTCTTTCACTGCCTCATCCCCGCATGTATATATATATATATATGTGTATATATATGTATATATATATATATATATATATATATATATATCATATACATACATATATGTATATATATATATATATTCCTCGATCCTTCCTCCCCCATCTCCTTCCTTTTCTGTTTCACTCTACGATGTACGGAACCCAAACGGTGGGTACGAAGGGCGCCGACACTCTGGGCCTCCAGTCCTGCGTCCACGACGCCCCTCCTCCTCCATCCCTTCTCTTGCAAGTGCACCCCTTGTCCCTTGTCGCACCACCAGACGTGTCGCTAGGGCGGACCAGGCGTTTCGTGTAAGACGTCCCCACCACTCACGATTCTGAGCTCTGAGCATGCCAACATCTGCATGGATGGAGGGCTCTCGCCCGGGCGCCATGCACACTCGTTTAAAATAACTCAACAGTTGGCGAATGGTTTTCAACATGGGACTCTCGCCGCGGTGCCGCGCACACTTGCTTTAAACAAACGAGCAGCTACGCGACTGGAGGGGAGCTCTTTTTTCAAAATGGAGTTGTCACTTCAGATTCCCCTTTGTCTTGCCACCATCTGTACTAACTTGCTGAACAGTTACACAGAAGGAAGGCGGTTTCTTTCCGTATGGAATATCGCACGTTGGCAGAATATTCAAGATTATGCACCAGATGAACGTTGTCATTAAACGCATGGTCGCCGCGCAACGAACAGTCATGTGTGCATGGGGCGAATGAGGAAGGAACTTGGGACGGGAGGGTGTATGGAGCATCGCTGATGTGCATTGAATTTGGTCATTTCCTCTTCCTGCTCCTCTCCCGCCTCCTCCCCCGCAGTGATCGGTAGCACTGTGATAGGTAGCTGCATGGGTAGCATGGCGGTCCGGGTGCAGGGGATGGCCTCCCGTTGGCGTTTGTCTCAAGGGTGGCCACCCTCCGCGCACGCTGCACGCTTGTTTTTGTTGCAGCCATGCGCCCCCGAAGTTTTTACATAAGTTTTCCCCTTTCACCCTTCGCTCTACACTCCTGGCTGGTAGCGGTTCCACCACTTGCCGCCATGGCCCGCGTGGCACGCTGCCTTGCCCCTGGCGGTCGCTCTACACCGTCATCGCCATTCTACAATCCGCTGTACGTATTTGCTGATGATGCTCCTGGCCGACACACGCGCCGCGTCTTCAGGGACCGGCGGGGCCAACCTGGCCTAGCCAGCGCCGCTGGTGCAGGAACGCAAATACAGTTACCACAACCATTGCAAAACCAACAAGGACGGCGCCCCCCGCCTCTTCTCTCCCGATCTGGTTCGAATTATGTTCGACCGTTTCGGGTGTCCTTCGTCGCCGTAGCCCCCGGCGATGTGGGCGACCGCTGATGTCAACCAGTCTCACGAAACGACGCTCACATCCGCGGTGACGCTGCAGGAATCCGAGCTGAGCGCAACTGTTTTGCGACAGCCCGAAGGAGACAAGGATCAAGACGTTTCACCTCCAGTGCAACCACGCTTGGGCGTAGCTGGCTATGTCAAGCACTCGGTTGGTCCGACGTTCACATGGTCGGCGGTGGCAGAACACCCCGAGCCAAGCGCAACTATGTCGTAAGAGCGGGACTACCAAGGAGGGTCGGGCAACTGCGTTGCCCGCCTTCCAGGGGACTGTCGCACGAGTCTGGGACTTTCCGATGTCAGTTCGCCCGTTCGCAAAGGGCGCGACTCTCAACGTTACCTGCGCACTCAATGCTTCAGGACAGACCTGGGTCCCGACGCAGCGACGGCAAGCGCGGCCTACGTTTCGTCTCGCTGGACAGGCATGGCCCTCGACTGCGTGGATAAGTGGGCCAGCTGTCCTCGTCCAAGGTGGCCATGCCAACGGCGACCCAGTTCCGCCCATGACCCACCTCATGCAAGCCCGGGCCGACCAGCGTGTCCAGCCTGGGGAGGGGGGGCGCGCGCAGGCAGCGTTTGCCCCGATGAACTTCATGCGATTGCCTCAGGGCATGCCGCAAGCCTGCGGCCCCAGAGATCCAGAAAAAAAACAGCGCAATTTTCACGGCGCCTACCAGAGCACCCATGTTCAACCAGCTGTGCAGGTGCAAGATCCGGCTGACGGACATCCGGGGCGACTGGGCGATCGTCGATCGGAAGCTGTACGCGGCTCTGATGTGCCGCGAGGTCTTGCGCCAGTCGCCCCGCGGCTGCGGCGCTTCGATCAGCGCGGGCGCGAAGAGGGCCGCGCGCCCTCAACGAGGCGCGACGGCAGCTTGGGCACCATACTCGAGCACATCTCTCAGTCCTGCGTTTAAGCACCTTCGCGACGCCAAGCATCGCCCTCAAGGCCGCGACATCAAGCATCGCATCCAGAACCGCGTCACTTAGCGGCGCGCTGAGAGTCGCAACGCGAAGCACCGCGCACGAGGAAATATATCGCGATCATCTCGCCACGCGCACTGTCAGGGCGAACAGCCTGGGGAGGCATCGAGCAACTACGTCGCTGGTGCCCCATGCGGCTTCGGCGCCCAGCATCTGCGTTGCCCGCGCCTACCCCGCAGCGGAGCGCGCGCGCCAGAAAGCGAAGGAAAAGAAAGCCACGTGCCCGAGGCGCGGAAGCAGGTCGTGGAGGACCACCGCGACGACTGCGGCACCGACCTCTCAGGTTTGGCCCCGCATCTTCTTGGCTTCCTAGCCATTGGCGAGCTAGGTAATGCCGACGATTACGGCGGCGATGACCCCCTCGGCAGCCGCGCTTCAGGCCTGCCCGCGCGGTGGGTTCAGGGCCCGTCGGCCCAGGCGACAGATCGCCATCCGGCGAGTCCCAAACGATCCAGCCAGCCGAGTCTGGGGCCGCAGCAAGTTTCGACGACACTCAACTTTTCCTCGCCTGCCACGCCTCCATCCGGTCACGGCGCCGACACCATGGGGATCTGCAGTGGGGGGCGCGGACTAGCTGAAGAGCTGTCCGCCGCCGCCCCATGGCGGGCGCCAACTTCGACGCGGTTCGGGCTGCGGCTTCAACGACGAGAGCCAGCAGACAGCCGTGGAGCAGTACATCCGACATTGACGGCCCCTAGAGGCCGTCATGGCCCCCGCATGCCAGCCCGTCGGCCGTTGGGCCACAATCAATTGCAAGTTCAACTGCCGCACTTGGCTACGACCCCACGAGCACGCGGCGCCTCGCGGCCTGTTTTGCGGCTGCACTGCACAGCTCCACCTGCAGCTGGACAACTATTTCGTCAACGAGCAGCCCGACCCATCGCGGCTGCGCTGCGAGCCGCGAGGGCCAGAGGTGCTACCGGCACCGGGCGCACACAGGGTCATCTTCGACCAGTGCCAAGTGGGGCCTCGAGATCACAGCGGGGGGGGGCGCTGAGGAAGGAAGCCTGCCTCGTCGCCGACGCCCCAGAGATCCCCGAGCGGCTTGCGAACCTGAGGTGCACCAACAAGCGCGCGCGCGTCGAGGGCCGCGGCAGTGCCGACGCCCAGGCATGGCCACGGAAGATGGCCGAACGGCTCGCCCAGACATCGTGGACCTACGCAGGCGCCTAAGACGACCGCATGAGGCCAAATACGCTCGCAAGCGCGATGTCGATGCGGAGGCCTTCGTGGCTGCGGGGGCTTCAGAGGGAGAGATCAGGGGCGGCATGGCCGCCGAGGGCGCTCGCTATCCGCGCAAAGCGTGCCGCCGCAATATACGATCCGATTTGCCCTTGCACCCCAGATGCCCCCCGCCCATTGGAAATGCCCCAGCTGTCGAGAGGAGAGGGGGCGCGACCATCCCGCGCGCGCCCGCGAGCGTAGCAAGTGTAGGTTCGTGGGCCCTCGCGCACGGCCGCGTCCGCGCACGCGTCAACACCCGCGATCGCCAGCACGACCTGGAGGGCCGCGCCCTGCCATTGACCAGCAGGGTCGGCGACCCGGAGCAGCAGACCTCGGATCAGCAGACGGATCTGCGCGGCCGCCAGCACTACCAAGCACGCCAGGTGCCAGCTCATCCGCCAGCGCTCGGGCTCTGGACAGTGGAGAGGGCAACCGAGTTGCCAATCCGCGATTCCGAGCCAGTCTGGCAGCCGACGCGGCACCGAAACGGACGTCGACGCGAGTTGCCGACGCTGCTGTAGGCAACTCAACGCCTGCAGATGCCACTCGATTTGACACCACCACGTCACTGCGAGCACCACGCGGCGACGCGCACGAGACACGAACATGAGAGCTCCGCGAACTACATCTCCTGCGGTGGCACGCCACTGAAGAGGAGATGCCACGAGCACTGCGCGCAGCCAACATGCCGTAGGCAATCTTCGACCTTACCCCCACAGTGGCCAACAATTGTCAGGAATGCAGTATGTGACCAGTACCTCACTGCGCCCTTCGACGCGTTTTAACCAGCACGCGGAATGCGATATCATTTTTT